TCAAAAATTTAAATTTCTTTCAGATATTTAATTAATTTCATGTTGGTGTTGATACCGTTTCAGGTTTCTTTGTTGCTACAGCTCAGATACTGATCAGCTGCAGAAATTTGCTGCCTGATTCTCTGTTATGAGGATCTCAAAAGAGATCGAAATGGACAATGGTCCTTCTGACGATTGAAAACTTTATCTCTTTTTGCCAATTTTGAAATGTTTATGTCTCTCTTATGGTCATAAGGAATGCCCTATAATCCCAAAGACAAGTCAAAATCGAAAAGATTATTCCTCACTCAAAAATTAAATATTTAAACAAAAAAATGGAGAGGGGGGGAATAAAGGAACTGACTGCTCAGGATCAACTTGCCAAAGCAACTTACACTTTCAATTTTAAGAAGTTGTTTCTCCCAGTCTTTCCCCTGACACCTATACAAGTTAACATCATAAAAAGCAGGAAGTTTTATCCAAACCCATGATTTTATATAAATTCTCAAGGACCTAACTAACCTACATTTGGATACTATTCCCTTTATAATTTAGGGCTGAGGTTTCGCATCTGTGCTTTCTCCTACAGGCCTTCTCTAGCTACAACAGGATTAACAAAGTGGCACCATAACCTTGAACCAGAAGACAACAACCTGGTAACAAGAGAGGGACTCGCCTAACTTTTAACCACATATAAATCACCCTTTACCAGAGTTACTCCCATTACAACATTTTTTTATCTCCTGGTTTTAATTCTGAAGCAAGCCTACGCATGCCTGGATTCCGGTTAATCTGGCTTGCCCATGACATGGAAGATCTGCTTCAGAACAACTTAATTATTCCCTTGAACATATATGTACAAAAGATTCACTGGAATGATTGCTAAGGGCTGTCTTAGCTGCCACAGTTGGAGCTAAAACTGAGAAATTATCCTTAACTCAATCTGTCCAAACTAAAGCAACTGCAAATTCCTATCTTCAAAATGAACATCTGGAAATGATGTTTTATACTAACTGGCTCAACCCCTCTAATTGTTTTTCAGGATTAAATATTAAGATGTGGTCTTTTACAGACAAATCATTCTGTCTGCTTCTTTCTCGAAGTCCTAGTGTGTCCTTGTCTACTCTTCAAAAGGACCACCCTTACCAAAGTGATACTGATTTAGGCAGCCTCCCCAGCTGCCTAAATCCTTTGGCCAGCTCTTCACCAGTGACTACCTCCAGCAATGTGTTACTTCTTTAATAAAACAAAAATGTAAAGACTGTGGGGATGCAACCTGATAAAAAATATCTCTTAGATTCCAAGAACCTGGAACTTCTGCTGGACCACATAGCCAGAGTTAATAATACACCTTGAGGTCACATAAGACATAAGACTGCTAGCCTACTGTGTACTTATCCTGTTTACTTAGCATGCCTTTCAGAGAACAATGTAACAACCAACCTTACTGGCCTTGAATTTTCCATGTAATCAGCTTTTACAACCTACATTAATCCATAGTTAAAACCTTAAATTATATACTCACCCATGTCCCTGACCTACAGGAATGCATGTGTTCTAGTAATCATTTGTTGAAAGAGCAAAAATTGAGTTTGAAGAGCATTCTTTTCAAATGAATCTCAACAATAAACGTTGAGCACAGCATTCAGATATTGCTTGATAAACAATGATGTTTATCACACTGCTTGCTAGCTGGCTCAGTTGGAGTGACTAAATTCCTTGTAAAATTCTGTTAAAAAGTTCTGGAAAGGATCCTCATTCCTTCCCCATGTGATACTTTCTGTACTGTTCAATAAATTCAGAGCAAAGCCCTTCGTTAGGAACAGACAGATGCAGGGGCAGGGGCAGATTCACAGGACAGCATTCAAGCGGCAGAGATTCACCCACATACCAAAGACAGGACAGAAGACACGGGGAGGGTAAAATAGAGACTTCTAATCTGGGCTTGTTTGTAGTTAAATGACACCGAGAGGAAATGCTTTGATTTTTTCCCCCTTAATGCAACACCGACAAATTATTGGTGACTCAGAGTTTACTATTAATGTCTTCAAACCGACCACACAAAGGAAATGAGAAAGAGAAGGAAAAGATAGAAATAACGAACAAAGAAAGAGCTCCATTGACAAAGATAAAAACAGAGGAAAGAAACCCTAATCAGTGTCTGGGTGGGTGGTAAAAATAATATTATCTATGCTATTGAATAACTAACATCATTTTAATAGAACATAATATAGTCAGGCTTTAACCTTTATCTGACACCTTTCCTGGTATTAAAGATCTAGTCTCAGTATTTCAGTTTGAATATCTGAGGCACATTAATCATAGTGCTATTTTTAAATCAAGATGGTATTTTCAATTAAAGGTAATATAAGCCTATTAAAATAATGAATACCTAAATGAAAAAATACTGCAGCAAAGAAAAAAATAACTGTGACAGCAATCACCTATAGGCCCACATATAGATTCCTTAAATATTTTATTTATTCTTTAATATCTGATTTTGTTGCTTGATTTTTTTTTTCAAACCTAAGTATCGAAGACATAACATGCTGAATCTCCAACATGGAATTTTATGAGGGAGTCCTGTTATACTGCTCAAGGTGTTGTCAAATTCACTGGCTCGGGTCATACATATTCCTATCTTCACCTTCCAAGGTGCCTGCACTAAAGAGAAGACACGTGCCACTGTGCCTGGCTACAGTGAGGCGCATGAACCATCTGCAAAGCTGAGCAAACACAACTGTATATTCATTACTGTCAGTCGATACTAGTCTCCACAGAATTGTAAAGCCAGATTCTGATCTGGATTGGCCATTATATTGCTTTGATTTGGGAGACCTATTCACAATGATTCCTCTCCTTCTTAATGATAAAGCAAGTGCCCAGGGGACATATTGAAAGTTCAAATTCAAAAAATCCTCCACGAGTGAGAATTAATAGAATTTGACAGAGGATGAAGCAGAAGAAAAGCCAAAACTTCACTGTCAATACTTCTAACCTGTGCAAGTCATGTATCCCTTTCAGGTAAGTGTTTATTGCATCTATTAGCGAAGTTAGTGAACCTAGGTGACTTAAAAGGAGCCTTACAGATTCCCGTTTTCAATGACTTGACATTTCTTTGGCAAAGAAATTTTAAAAATATGTATGTATAAAGAACGAAGGAAAGATTTTTGTTTTTGCTAGTAATAAAATTCAAGAATCTTAGTCAATAGTCACATTTTAAGCTTTTACACTTGAAAACCCACCATTGTATTTCCCTCCAGACTTCCACCAATTTTTGGAGTATTTAAATCGTACTTTGAGATGGGATATTTTCCAAGCTGGTCTCCGAATCCTGAGCTTAAGCGATCCCCCTGTCTCAGTCACTGAAGTTACTAGGGCTATAAAGACATATCACTGTGTATAGCCAGAATGTTTACAGCTACTCTTTATGGTCCATAATATGATAGCAAATAAAAATTTCATTCACTTAAAATTAGAATGAACCCTAAGAAATTATATAGATGTGCTTGGGATGCTAGCTGATTTTTCAGAAAAGCCATTGAATTTGGATATGGTTTTGGGATTAAAGCTTAAGAATATGATCTTCCTTATCCATAGCTTTCCTACTCCCATGCACTGAAAGTGCACCTGTTTCTTTCAACTCTATTAACTGATGTGGACGTAATTTGCTAACAACTTTCTCTGGTCAAGAAAATGCTCTAGGTAGATGGGAAATAAGACATCTGAAGAGAATAAAATTGTGTTGTGCTTGGAAAGTTCACATCCATGAAGAAATTATTTAAATTGCTACAAAAATCCTCTCTTTAAGGAATTGTGTTCCAAATATAAACAATTTACACAGCTAAAATAAAAGTTTAAAAAAAAAACAAAAATCAAAGTTGAGTAGAAACTGAAGTGATACATAAACACTTACAAATGCTCTTGCCACCTACTGGCTAGGAAAATACTCTGGACTGAAAAAAAACATGGTGCATTCTAAACAGCTTAAGCTTAACAGGATCTGAGAAAAACTGAAATTTCAAACTTCTTCACAAAAAAGGAGACAGGAATTACTGTTGAGAACATGGGAGAAATAAGAGAGGTAGTACAGAGAAGAAAGGAAATGAGGAAGAAGGAAGCGAGGAAGGAAGGATGGAAGAAAAAAGGGAAGGAAGGAAGGAAGGGAGGGAGGAAGGAAGGAAGGAAAGTTGAGTCTGTACAGATAAAGGAAGTGTTCAGTACAAAGTGGTTAACAAGTCGGGAAAAGATCCTTCCAAGGCTTTGTTTTCTGATCTAAAATGAAGCCAAGTGAAATAGATTGCTCATGCCATGTTGTAGGTAGTAACAAAAAGCAGAGACTCGATTCCAGAACTTCAGATTTCTTGACCCTCCTCTTCATACCCAAACAATGACTTCGTTTCACATTGTTTACACTTCTGTTCCTTATTAGAGCCCAAAAGAAGGCCACAAAAGTTCCTCAAATCTTAGTTATAACTAAGGCGTGTAGCTGAACAAACATAGCTTTCTCTAGTCATTTGTTTTCATTACAAATACATTTATTTGACTTAACACAGACAGACATACAGACAGATACACACACACACACACACACACACACACAGAGAGCTTGCAGAAACCTTCACAGAATAGCAGAGTTGAAAGCACATGAACATTCCATTGACTTCCTGAACATAAGTACTCTATTATAATCTATCTCTTTATAGCCAAAGAGCTGTGTGCCAAGAGCTGTCACATCAACGCTAATCTGAAGCTGAGCAGTGCCTGAACTTCCCTCCTCTTGCTCCAGAACAGAGCTTTCTCAGCCTGCTACTCACTCTACAAATGAAGAAAACATCAAATAATCAGAACATGGACCATACATTGAAGAGATAAAAGTGTTTTGAAAATCTCCCAAGCCTCCTGAACACATCACCCTTTTCTTCCTACTACCCCTTCCTCCTCCCATGTCACCCCTTGTCACTCTAGACCCCCTACTTAACAACGCCCGTGCACCTTGTGCCTGCTGCCGAAGCACTTACCAGGATTGTCAGGCTGCATGACAGCCATCACAAAGGCATGGGGAAAGAGCATGGCTGCACCTTTCCTCATGCCCTGAAGCTGGATAGTGTTGCCCTCGAACATGACCCCATGCACATCAGTCTCTGTGCCCAGGCCAAGCAGGTGCCAGGCCACCGTATCACCCTTGCACATGTCCAGTCTGGGCAGATTAGAGAACAGAAACCCATTGATAGCTGGAAAACAAAAACGCAGACAAAATAAAGAGATGTGATCAGACTGCTCAAATCATGGTCAGCAGTATATTATCCCTGTACTATGATTTCCCCTAGCTTGAAGTCTCTCAGTCTAGCTTTTCCCTTGTATAAAGATTATCAATGAAATGAGTATTTTTAGGAATTGGTTATGAGTATGGTTCGAGTTGCATGTTTCCTTGGGACCCCAAAGCTATAGTCAAAGGCAACACCATTCCCCTTACCATGCATTCGATTGGAATCTTGGAAGCCCTCAACATCCTCTGAGAGCAGTCGGGTATCCAACATACCAGCTGCTTGATTGGCATCGCTGTACCAACTGTTGTTCTCATCAAACACGGTGAAGAGGAGAAAAAATTCTTTATCCATTCCTTTCTGTGGTCCCATTGGAAAGAAATAGAGGGAGGAATGACAATGGATTCAGCAGCTGAGCACTGCGTAGTTGTAGACCCAAGGATCCCTGATTCTTTCTCATTTCTTTTTGTGCAGACTCAGAGCCAGGCCCATATCTCATGCTCAGAGCTGCAGCTGTTGCTAGGCAGGTTTTCCTCAGGAAGACTTCAAATTGTCGAGGAGATAAGGTCAGAGTGAAGGAAGAAGACCAGAGGCAAATCATGTAGGAAAGGAAGCAGGGAAGAAGCACAGGCTGTGGATTAAGGAAGCATAGCACAGGATGTGACCAAAGATAGCTTGAAGTCACCTGCGGAGAGGATTGAGGAGAGAGTTGCTAGGAAAGTGCGGAAGGTCTACGGAGGGAAATTAGAAAATGATTTTAAAAATTAGAAGTGCATTAACACCATTTATTATTGTTAAAGCTGATGTTTACTGGGTGCTTACTATATGCCAGACACTGCAGTAAGCATTTGATGTGTATTAATTTTATGACTTTTCCAAGAAATCAAAGATAACTTCAGCTGTTAACCCTTTCTTTACCGATGAAGAAGTTAAATTAAAGAGACTTTAAGTAACTAGTCCAAAGTTACACAGAAAATGGGATAGGAAAAAAACGGCAAAAAAATATTAAAGCAAGTATATGGGTTGTAAACAAGTTTATGGGTCACTGAGGTAAGAGGGGGAATAATAATTGGGATATATGGAAAACATAAGAATCAAAAGCTAAGAAAGATGTATGTTTGCATATAAAATATTAATATACTTAAGAACAGGTGGTCACCAACTATTAATTTCTGATATAATTGCTTGGTTCAACTTTTCTCTATTCCCTTACCTCCAGGATCCAACCCCATTCTTGACACACACCCGGAAACACAGTTTTAGTTCTTTCCAGCCAATCTTCCTACCCCAGACTCCCCAGAAATACCTGCTTGCCATCTGCACCCAAGGCGCCAGCCTTGCAAATCAGCAGAGGGCCAACCAGGCCCGAATTTGTATCTCTTATGGGATCTACAGCAGAGAAGTACATCCAGGTAAGGCAGGCAGGATCCTGAGCAGCTGGTCCAGCATGGGGAGGAACTGTCCACTTGTATGTAACTTTCTCAAAGGGCTTGGCTACCAAGCCAGGATGAGCTGTACCTGCAGGGAAACATGAAGCCATTACTTACAATGGCTAGAGTAAGGACCAACCGCTCCAAAATTATAAACTACAATGACATTTTAAGGCAACAGTGATAGCAGTACCATGCGATAATGGATGCTGCAGTGCATGAGTGCAAACTCGTGGCCTTTTCCAAGCTAGACAAGAGAGTTCTCCCACTGAACTGCAGCCCGTCTTATGGCTGTATTCTCTTAAATGGACGCACAACATGATCAAGCAATGCACAGAACTGTAGTTTTTTTTATTTTCAGCATATTAGTAATCAAAGACATATAAATGAAAGCATTTAAATCATTTTGACCTATCAAATTGGCAAATATTTTATAAATTTCAATCAGTGTAATGAAAATGGTCCAGATGGTATCTAGCTCTTTCCCTCACCTACAGAGTTTAAACGTAGACAGAAATAACCTTTTTGGAAAATAATACTGGCAAAATGCAAAAACTTTAAATCCTTCATGAATAGAAACAAAGATTCATAGTAATTACTGAAGAAATGTTAACATAAAGCAATCAAATAAATGCAAATGAAAACGAGTTGCATCAATGTTGCTTGTTAGACTCTTATTTCAACAAAAAGTAAAAAGATGGTTCTGGTGCAGGTGAGGCTGTAAAGAAAGCAACCTTTCAGAACTGTTGATGCAACTACAAGTTAATCAGACTGCAAATCTGTCCAGAGAACAATATGGAAGCAGTTGACAAAAATTTCAACACGCATGTCCTCTGACAAACTAATTTTACATCTTAAAAAATACATCCTGAAGAAGTAATCATCAAAATTCTACAAAAGTCCACTGGTAGCATGGCTTGTAGTAAAGGGATAAAATCTGATGCTCTATGAATTTATGTCTTCTTATTCACTTGCCATTTCTAATTCCTTAAATTTCATAAACAGAAAACTTTAAAGAATGGTATAATTGTTGTGAAATAAAAGGAAGGTTGAAAAAGAGGGGTTGTAGAAGAAGTGTCATATGGGTAAGTATGATAAGAACATATTGTATACATGGTAAAGTACCATTATGAAATTCAGTGCTTACAATAAGAAAAAAAGAGAGTTTTAAAATGACACAATTATGAGCTTAGCATCTAGACTCAATGTCCATTTATCAAATTTTGCCATCTTTAATTTGTCTACGTCTATTGAGGGGTATAGCTCAGTGGCAGAGCATTTCCTTAGCATGTGTGTAGTCCTAAGCTTTATCCTCAGTGACCATAAAAGGGTAAAAGTCCGCTATTTGTGCATATTGCACATCTACATACATACACGCGGGTTTAACTTGTTTGTGTTCTTTTGCTGAGTCATTCACAAATAAAATTTAAAACACCATGACCTTATACTTAAAACAGATCAGTAAGACTCCCCTATGAAAGGGCTGGACAGATGGCTCAGCAGTTAAGAGCATATACTGCTCTTGCAACAAACCTGAGTTCGGTTCCCAGGACACACTTCTGCTAGCTCACAACTCACACTAGTTTCAGGGGAATTGAACATCTCCAGCCTCCAACGGCATTTGAATTTATATGCATATGCACAAACATATATATGCATAATTAATAATAATAAAAAACTGAACTTACTACCAGAGCCCCTGTAGCCACACCATGTAGTATGGACCAAAGTGGCTACCACTGCTCTTCCTAAATGCCTCCTCCAATCACGTCACCAATCCTAAGACTGATTGCCAGGACCAGCTACCTTCCCTCAGCCTGAATGTATCCCTTCCTCTGGTACTCACCAATTCGCAGCTCAATTTCCAGGAAAGATTCTCCAGTTATCAAAAATTACCTAGAGTCCCAAAGCCATGCCAGCTCCCTAATTAGAACCTCTAGTTGCCCTTTGAGGCCTTTAAACCCAGGACAAATCTATACTGCCAAAGGAAACTTGCTCAAGACTTCTTAACCAAGCACTGATAGAGGATGTAGTCCCAAATACCAGTTAAACAGGGGAAATCAATATTCCAATGCTAATATGACTTAGTCTTGTCTAGAACAATGTAAAACCCTCTGCTGAAAAAAGAAGTGTTAAACAAAAACAAAAGAAAAAATAAATTAGCAAAGTAACCCCAGATGTGCAAATCCTAATGCAGAAATAATAACAAGACACAAAAGAGCAAAATAACGTGCTATCTCCAAAACACAAATCCCACAGCAATATCCCCTGTTGAAAATAAATGGAGACACTTTTGGACAAAAAAATCAAAAAGAATGATTGTCATACTGACAAACAATCCAAAGAAGACAAAGGCAAAGAAGGACGTGAAATAATTAAGTCAATCCAAGACATGAAAATAAAGTTTACATTTTTAAGAAAAGAAAAACTTAAAAAATGTTGAAAATGAAAAACTCAAAAAGATAATTAAAAGTGTAGGTGGAACGCCTCATGAACAAATTGTGTCATTCCACAAACATAATAAGCGATAGCAGACAAAGCAGAGGAATTGGATCATTTAGTAAAGGTCAATGGAAAAAATTAATACATATAAATGGGACATGAAAGAGTTTTAGGACACCATGACCTAACCTTCAAATATGAGAACAGAAGAAGAAAAATATCACAGTGAAAGCATCTTTAGTAAAATCATAGAATAAAACTTCTCAACCAAGAGAAAAAAAATGTCCATTCAGGCACAAAAGGTCTAAAGAGGAATGGCCAAACACATTATAGCTAAAACATTTTAAAAAAATAGAGGATAAAGGAAGGGTATTGAAAGATACAAGAAAGGAAAATCAAGTCACATTTAAGGGCAGGTTTATAAAAAACAACAATTAATATTTTTTTTAAAAAAAATCTAAAGTCAAAAAGGCCTAGAAAGATGACTCCAGGATGTGAGAGGTCACAATTTTCAATACAGACTATTATACCCAAAAAACTATTAAAATTATAAACCCTGTCTTGAAAAAGAAACCAAAAAAATTAAAGAAACAAAATTTCCATGGTAAAAACAAACTAAATGTGAACTATTCCTTTACATTGCTTGAATATATGCCACTGTGATTGATTTAATAAAGAATCTGGTTGGCCAATAGCAGGACAGGATAAGTAGAACCAGACTAACGACAATGGAAAGAACGGAAGAGTCAAGGCAGTCGTCAGCCAGATATGGAGAAGAAACAGGAGGTGCAAAATGAAAGAGCGGCAATGCCACATGGCAGAGTATAAATGAGTATAAATGTGCTAATTTAAGCTGTAAGAGCTAGTTAGTAATAAGGCGGAGCTACCAACTGAGCATTTACAATTAATATTAATTCTCTGCATTTACTTTGGAGCCGGAGGTCCCGACAAAGGCTCTGCCTTCAACTACAGGAATTTATGACTAGAAATCCAGCTCTTCAGAGCATACTAGAAGAATTATTTCAACTTGGAGAGAAGAATAAACACAACCAAGAGGTCACAAGAAACAAATAAGTAATGCCAGGACAAGCAAGCAAAAGAGATTGAAGAAAATATTACCAAATCGACAAAATGACAAGAATTAACACATATCATTCAATAATTCAATAAGAACTGAAGAATATTGATATTGTTTCTATAATAAAGATACAGACTAGAAAAAACTTTATTAGAATAGAGGATCCACATTTTTGTTGCCTTCATAAAATGTACCTCACCATGAAAGACAGACACCTCCTTAAGTTAAAGGGGGTAAAAAAAATATGTTAAAAAATACATTCCAAGCAAATGAAACTGAAAAACAGGCAGATGTAGCTATTCTCACATTTGAAAAAAACTAGTCAGAGACTTGAGATGGATATTTCATGACGCTTAAAGAAAACCACTACCAACAGGTAATTACAATCATGGACATAAACACATCAAACATACTGGTACCTGATTTCATAAAGGAATCACTACCAGAACTAAAACCATGCATTCATTACAGTATAGTGACAATGGTTGACATCAACACCTGACTCTTACCAATGCACAGATCATCCAGAAATAAACTAAACAGAGATAAGTTGGAACTAAATTACATTAAAAAAAAACCAAATGGATCTGACAGAAATCCACTAAACATTCCACTCAGACATTAAGAATAAGTGTTCTTCTCAGCAGCCTATGGAATTTTCTCCATAATAGATGGCATACTAGGACTCAAAGCAAGACTCAACAAATATTGGAAAACTGAAATCACATCCTTCATTTTACCTAACCACAGTGAAATAGAACTAGATATCAGCAGCCAAAGAAATGACAGGAAGTATAAAAACTCACGGAAACCAAACAACACACAACTGAATAATAGCTGAGTCAAGGATGGAGCCAATTCATTAAGAAAATTTTTAAAATTCCTGTAAAGTTTAGAGAGATGGGCCAGAGGTTATGTGCACTTGCTGTTCTTTCAGAGGACTTGGGTTTGCTTCCTAGAACCCACATGGCAGCTCAAAACTGCCCACAGTCTCAATTCCCATTATTCCACGTGATGTCTATACACCAGGCATGCACATGGTGTACATGCATACATACAGGTAAAACACTCATGCACATAAAATTAAAAATAGATGAATCTTTAAAAATTAACTTTAAAAAACTTCTTAAAATTGAATAAAAATGAAAAGACAAGATTTCAAATCTATGGGACACAATGAAGGCAATGCTAAGAGGAAAGTTTATATTCCACCATATTGGAAAACTCTAATAAATGCATGAATTTATAGATGCATATGTCATGGAATGTTTAAATATTCTGTCAGAAATCTCCTATACCTGATAAACACATTCAACAAAGTAATAGACTAGAAAACTGGAAACAGACAAAAACCAGTATGTTGTAGGAGGCTGTTAGTTTGTTCCTGGATGCTCAGCCCCAAATAATCACACAGAAATTACATTATTTGCAATACTGCTTGGCCAATAGCTCAAGTGTATTGCTAGATAGCTTGGACATCTAGAATTAAACCATTTTCATTATTTTATATTTTACCATGAGGCTCGTGGCCTACAGGCAAGGTTCCAACTGGCAGCTGGCATCTTTCT